GAGAGGAATCTCTATGATGATAATGACCTTCCGTTGGGTATGCATTACTATGATGCCGTTCATTACGTCGTTGAGATGAGCTACAAGACCATTGTGTTGGTCAGTAGGGCTGCTATCCAGGATAACTGGTTCGTCATCCAATTTAGGACCGCTGCGGATCAGGTCAATGACACACAAATAGAGAACATGGTAGTGATCTTCCTGGAGGACATTCCAGATAATGAGCTTCCATTCTTGGTGAGGCTGTACCTGAGTGGTCGTAAGCCATACCTCAGGTGGGAGGAGGGTGAGAGGTTTCAAGAATACTTCTGGCAAAAGCTGATCAAGATGTTGAAGATAAATCTGAGGTGCAACAATGTTATTCCTCCTGAGTAACTAAATGCGAGTGATGTATTAATGACTGTCATAATGCCCGCCCCCCCCCCACTCAGTGTTATTTAGGGTACGCATATGCTCGTACCCTCTTTTTGAAAGCACCCCTTATCTGAGGACTGCCAACATTTCCGAACCCCCCTTTCGCGGGCTTTTTGCGGGCTTTTCCTGCCTTGGAGACCCCCCTAAATCAGGAAAAATGCTCAATGTACCCCCTAAATTCTGAATAATTTCTCAGGAGTCCATAGAGATGAGAGAAAAAAAGAAAAACACCCCCTTTTTAAAGAAATCTCCGGGTGAAAAGTCAAATACACCCCTTTTTTTTACAATTCTCGGGCCGGACTTTGTCGCACGAAAAGTACCCCTTTCCCGGACATTTTGGCAACACGCATGCGGTCATTCCGACCTCTGAGTGGGGGGGGGGGGGCGGGTCATAATGCCAAATGACTCTCTTTCGCGATAATGCATTTGATGTAAAAGATGGATAATCATGTGAAACTTGTAATTATGCAGGGGCAATCCCGCCGCGGGGCCAAAGGGGTTTCAGCCACCGATTGTCCATTTGCATTTTGCCTGAAGCTACTTATACTGCAAAACGCAAGGTGTGGAATGGCCATGGGATCCAGTGGCGGATCCCATGGTCAAAAACCAAAACATGTAAAAACATGTAAACTTTACCTTTTTTGTAAAAAAAGGAGACGGGCCCCCTCCCCTGGCAAAAATAAAACGAAAAATTACTGATTGTTTCTGTGTGTGTGCTCAAGGGGGGGGGGTGGAATTAATTTACAAACAGTAATAGTGGTCACTATCCACCCCCCCCCCCCCGCTTTTTCATCGGCTGGCTGATTCGTCGCTAAATATTTTCTTACGAATTGGGCAAAATTAGTGCTCCTTCCCCTCCCACCTCCCCCCCCCCCCCCCCGCTTTAATATTCACCGACTGGCTGATTCGCTGCTAAATATTTCTCTCGAATTAGGGCCCCTCTCTGGCCCCCTCCCTTGTCGCCGGCTGGATCCGCCCCTGATGGGATCTGCAATATAATCATTTATGTATTAAGTTGCACTTGTGTAACATTGATTTAACTATCAAGTGCAATTTCCCCAGAGTTTAAGTTCTGTATTTCTAAACCTCAATGCAGGAACTTAGTAGTCATCAATAATCTATTAACAATGTCTATGTGTGCAGAGGTATCTACATTGCTGAACCTCAAATTAATGATTTTGACAATTAGGTATAGATTCAAAACGTAGGAGCTTTAGCCTGAGAAAGAGCATTCCGAAATGGAAGATATGCAATTATGATGATATAAGCAATACTTTAAACATTATCTTTCCTCGCTTTTAAACGGCTTTCTATAAATAAATGTAAAGGTGGCCGCATTTTTCCTGTAAAGTGAATGTGTATCGTAGTTAAGTAGAGCATTATATACACCTCTGAAAACAGACTTATCTATGTTTATTGTTATTGCAATAATATTCTATTTTCTTGTTTCGACATCGATTGAATAGAATTTGGGAAATTCTAAATTTGTTATTGCATTCAATGTATTACAGTTGAAACAAGAGTTTATATTTTTGTTAGGTTCTGTCACATACTTTAAAAAAAGTTCCATTGTAGTTGTGTATAAAAACATTATGTGGCTCTATTAGTTTTTTGTGATTTGCACAGAAGCCATTATCCCTGGATGTCTATATTATGTTATTTCATAATCCGCATTTCATGGTAACTGACAGAAATTCCACAAAATGTTTAGTCATCATCGATCACAAACGTAGCCCAATTAATAGGTTAATGTTAGAAAAGATAAGCAACTTTAAAAGACTTTAAAAAGAAAGGGAAAAAAATCTCTCACGTAATATTGTATTATACTGTTGATATCTAGTCTCATATTCTGCCTGGATATAATATGTACTCGTAGTTTTATAGCAAAAAAATCTTGGAACAACTAACACGTTGATTATAAAATATCTCCAGGCATCCATCGACGGGAAGGCATCCACAATATAGCTATTCCATTGGACAAATACCTCCGTCGTTGTTACTTTTGGATAGTTTTCTATTTTAGGGATTATTGTCCTGGTGAAAATGTCTGACTGATTTGCCCGATAGGGTCGGAAAAAAGCAGTCCAGATAAGCTATTTCGTGAAGCATTGCAATTATTTCATGAAAAGATGAATACTTTTGTTATTTAATTTTTTTAATTTTCTTTGTAGATACTATCGAGAGTTTTGCTCCAGGATAATCATTCTTTCACTTTATGACAAAGCATTTAACACAATAAACACTATAAACCCACATTGTGGAATCTTTATCTCTTTGTCTGCCTCTCATCGACATTTGCCTACGGTTGTAATTATAATATGAAGGGTAATAATATTATTCATTAAAAGTATAGGACCATCTTTTCCGAATGTGGATGTATGACAAGAAAATAAGGAGAAGCGCAGAAGCTTAACGTTTCGTTAATTTATTAGAGAAAGAAGATGATTTGTTGTACCGTTTTAGACTTGTTAAAAATGTTTTTTTGTCTGCTCCTTTTTTCGTCCTATGTCCTCTTACTGCCCATACCGCCCCTAGCTACGCATGCTTTATAGGGAAAATGAAACAATCATGATTGTGATAGGATACAATTAGGTCAGTAGAAATGAAAGGGGGAAAAAGATATATTTATACACCAACCATGAAATAATCGCGACCGGGAGCGTCATATTTTAGTTTTGTGTTATCGGGCGAGGGCCGGGGCGTAGCGACCAAGCGAGATTTTGCAATGTAGAATGCTGAAAGTATGCATTCTAGAAAATCCTTTACTCCAATATGTCCGTTCTTTCCGCTACATGTGTATTTATTTCTAGCTATATATCTAAATTGTCGGGGGACGTGTCCCTCTGTCGGGCCCAGGATCGCTGCCGCTGTCCATGATCACTACCAACATGAGTTCAAATATAAGCACAAGCGAGTTGGTATGAGCTGAATCCAAATGCAGGGCAAAATAAAAGTTGTGAAGCGGCCCTACCGTTAATTTAAAATTTGACTGTTTAGTATATAGCTTCTATTTGAAAGACATCCAAAATATTGTGCCCTTTTAAATTTTTTTCAAAAAGCAGGGGCTGTTTGTAACGTTTAACTTTGAATCCGTGGCTCGAGATTTTATGCGGCCGGCCCGGCCCCCTCTATTCAATAACGTTTCCCAAGCCTTCTGGAATGACCCCAAATCTCCCGATTACAGTTTTCCCTTATTCGTTGTTACTGTCACTTAGCGCCATTTCCTTGTCTTTCCCCCTTTCTCACCCGACTTTTCTCTTTTTTTTTAAGAGGAAACGCAACCAACGAAAGTTGCAGGTATTTTGTAAAAAGTTATACATGAAGCCTTGACATGATTTTGATTACATAGCAGATAGAATTAACCTTCTCACCTTCTCACACATTTCCTCTTCTTCATGCATGCGCTTTCGAATTTCGTCATACAGAGATTGATCAGCTAGCCATGACTTGGACTGAGGCAGAGACATTTTGCCAGCTTTAATTAGTGTCCTCCACCTGCGATGGAAATGTGGTCAGAGAGAGTCAGCTCATTCTCAAGCGGAAAACCTCTTCGTTTTCAAATCGTCTGTAAGTTCTGAGGTAATTGTAATATCTATACCACTACCAACAGAAGCAATAACAAACTGAACAGCAACAACTACCTCAACATCAATAATGATAGTATGACACTAATAATATGAGACATGAACAGTTTTCGTAGCAGTAAGTTTTCTTCATGAAGTTTATGTACACGTAAAGGTCCAACATTATTTTATTGGATTACAAAATGTCTATTCTTCGATCTTAGAACAGGGTGATATACCTTAGTATTCGTTTCAGAGATAGGAGAAAGAGGTTCGTTGTGTTTTAGTATGTTATATCTGAGAAGATAATCATATAATAGTTATACACAGACAGGTTTGTGCTGAATATTGCATTAAAACTCATAATATACTGCGAAATTTTGAGTATTTTTATGTTTGTCGAATACGACACATGCACGTACGCTTCAGTGTGATAGAGCTCTTCGGGCCTAATTATATACATTTAATATAATCTTACTCAGGATAGAGCAAGGAGATATTAGATTATGATCTGACTTTGACAGTACGATTTCTGCTTGATAAAGTTTATACTTCTCAGAACATTAATGATCAATCAATCTACAAACTCATGCATAGAGATTGATCAATGTAGTTCTAGGATAATTATTATCCGTTCCATGAAGAAGAAATCACATCAAAATCATTTATTAAAAAAAGGTAAATAAAAATAATTCCAACATATGGGCAACAGTGTACTAATATACATTATGTTCCAATCCACTGAATTCAGCAGCAACAACAACAACAAAACAACAAAAAACAAAACAAAACAAATCAATATTTTTCAATTTTCTCTCAAAGAGTGGATTATCAGTGTTGTAGTATACTTGCGTTGGACTTGGACTCAAGTCGGTGGTATTACAGTCAAACCTGTCTATAGCGACCGCCCGAGGGAAACACAAAAAGTGGCCTTTGTAGACAGGTGGTCCTTAAGTACATGTTTCAATGAGAAACCATTTTCAAGGGAAACAAAAAATGTGGTCCTTGTAGACAGGTGGTCTTTGTAGACAGGTGGTCACTAAAGCAGGTTTGACTGTACATACAAAACTCAAGTTAAAATCTTTACAAGCCGCAATAAATATAATGTCAGGCCTTTGGACTGTCACGCAAGGCATTATCACTATCCATAATTATATACATATTATATAATATATTTTTACCGGAATGTCTTTCAGCTCACATTCGAGATAAGAAAGACAAATGGCGCAAAAATGAATAAATTAAGAGGATTCTCTCAACTTCATCTCTGTAGATGTCATGTACTTTGGTTCAGGCCAGTTCCATACGATCCCACGAAGCTCGTTTTGAATTCCATAAACACCATTTAAATTGGACGTGTAACAACTTTGATACCACCACGCCCCTTGGTAATCAACTGCACAGTTACCCGCTAAATTATCATTGTCCAGGTCATAGGTCGTGAAGCCTTGTGCGTTGGCCGCATTGAGTCCTTCTCCTGCAGTACCAGAATATGATGAGAAAGTTACTCGGTAGCTACATTGAAAAGAAAGACAAGTAATAAACAGATTAGCCTGAATGTAGTCTTGAAAAGGTCCATACAAACGAAAATAAAAGTAAATATACATTTTTAAAATGCGTGGGAGTAGGCATTTGATGCAACCCATATGATGCATATTTCACGCATGAGTGAGTAGAATCGACAAAAGACTTAACTCCGTTTCGTTGACAATCAGCCATGCATGAATTCTTTCGTCTACGGTTGATTGTCAACGAAACAGAGTTAAGTCTTTTGTTAATTCCGTTTGTTGCTACGTCAGGTAGCCAGTGAAAACGAATTCGTTTACTAAAATTATGGAAATGCAAGCACTACTTTAAACAAACAGAACTTTGTTATTCCTATAGCTCATTTTTCCTGACTGAGGTATCATATGAAAGGGCAGAAACTCGGCTTTTTAGAAATGTGATTTTCTCTTTGAAATGCAGATACCGTCCGCCAAATTACTTTTTGGTTTCCTCTCTTCAAATTCATTTTACTCACTCAGGCGTGAAATATGCATCATATTGCATCAAATGAAAGAGGGAGATCTAAGCTTCCCAAATATGTGTCATTTATTGATTATAGATGTGACTAAGTTATGATAAAACATCGACAATTCTCGGTTTCGTTTTTTTCTGGGACGCATTGTATAAATAATTAATAATTAAACAGTAAAAAAATAAAAACCCTTGAGGGTTCAATTTGTGAAGGAGGATTTTTTAAAAATCATATATATCGAATCATTGTATAAGAAAAGGGAATGATGGAACCATACTTCGTGATAGGGCTTCCAATGCTGAATTGACTATAATGGGCATAGACTTGATTGTTGCTGTAATCCACCATATCGATTCGGAGCTCAACCCCATCTTTGGCCAGCAAATAGATGATATCTAACCCCAACCAGTATTCGCCGCTGACGTCACCAAATCCTTGGACATACTCAGCATAGTTGCGGTAGAAATTGACAGACCCATCATAACGTTTCTGCATGGTATGATAAAGAATTTCAAATTCAATGATGAAATCGGTATCATTAGTTTTACGCTTTGAAGAAAACTTAATCTAAAGGGGAGCTTTAGAATATACCTCAATCAGAGAATGTTGTTGGGGAAGGAGAAGACTTATAGGTTGAGGACAATTCCTGTGTTAATTTTTACATAATCTGCCCATTACAGCTCTAGCTCCCCTCCCATCATCCTGCGCACATCAAAGATATTCCCTCCCATTATCCTACTCGAATCAGGTAGACCCCTCCCATTATCCTACTCACGTCAGGGAGACCCCTCCCATCATCCTATTCGCATCAGGGAGAACCCCTCCTATCATCCTACTCGCATCAGGGAGACCCCTCCCATCACCCTACGCGCATCAGGGAGATCCCCTCGCATCATTATTCTACCCCAATTAGGGAGATCCCCTCCCATCATCCTACTCGCATGATGCGAGAGAACGAAGATATAGTTTTTACTGCAGGCCTAAACAAACAACACGACATGGCATCATTTGACATTATTATAAACTTCAATCACAGACAAAGAAAAGACAAAAAATAGTGGAATGCACCTGAAAAACTGTCCACCCTCCGCCGTCGCTGATCATATCACAGTAAACATCGATCGCATCTGCCCCACTAGGAATGATGGAGTAGACACCACTTGTTTGGTAGCCCATTGAATGCAGCATCTTACACGAACTCACATTTGAAGTCTCTGTTGTAGTCTCTGTTGTAGTTTCTGGCAAAATATTTGTCGTACTCTCTGTTGTAGCTTCTGGTGAATTATCTGCCGTGCTCTCTGTTGTAGTTTCAGGTGAATTATCTGTCGTACTCCTTGTTGTAGTTTCAGGTGAATTATCTGTCGTACTCCTTGTTGTAGTTTCTGGTGAATTATCTGTCGTACTCCTTGTTGTAGTTTGTGGTGAATTATTTGTCGTACCCTCTGTTGTAGTTTCTCGTGCCTCTGTCGTGCTCTCTGTTGTAGTTTCTGGTGAATTATCTGTCGTACTCTTTGCTGCAGTTTCTGGTGAATTACCTGCCGTGCTCTCTGTTGTAGTTTCAGACGAAATGCTTGTGGAACTATTTACTGTCGTTTCTTGTGATCTTTTTATTGAACTTCCCACTTCACGAATTTCTTGCGAAGGTGAAGCATCTGTCTGAGCCTCTATAATATTGACATAAATAACAATATTAATTCAAATTCTAGATGCTTGTAAAATTCCTAAGCAAAACGAAAACAAAGTTCTTACAGTAAAAATTGGCTATAAAACCCCCGTAACAAACCCACTTTGGATTACAAAAGCGCCGGTCATTGGTAAGTACAGCACTGTGTACACATCTCCCCTCGATTGGATGATTCGTAACTAGCCCATAGTGGCTTCCATTACCTCATCTGTACACCCGATCTGTTGCAAGTGGAGTAGGCAATCGACATATTTAATGTTAAAAAAAAGATTGAGACCACTGTATGAACTGGATTGGCCAGCTCAGATCAATAGTTAAATTAAGAATCATTTTGGACACTAATTGGGATAAGTATTTCCATACCATTCTTCCATTACCAACCTTTTGAACAGAACGTTTTTATGTAACTCAGGGGCGGATCTAGGGGGGGGGGTGTTTCGGCGGTTTAAACCTCTCCCCCCTCCCCTTGGGCCGCCAAGTGAAGAAAAAAAAAACACAATAAAACGGTGCGATTTTTGGAAAATCCTGGTTCCGCCACTGGGTCAACCCCCCCCCCCCCCCCCCCCCACCCCTTGGCAAAAAGCTAGATCCGCCCCCGTAACTATACCTACCATGTGTACCCGGCAGAATGCACATAAAATGGCGCCAGCTAGATGCAAGTTTCCCAAGAACAGGGTCGGAATCGTTCGGCGTTGATACCAGCCTTGGAACGAGTTGTATAGATCTCCCGCCAGGTAGAGTTATATTGCCGCACGATGCAGGGCCCGGATCGCATAACTTTCTGCATTCAACGACTACCACGTGCAAATCAAGAATTTGAGAAATATTATTCAGGTAAACTCGCAACAAACCTTTTGTTTTCAACACAGAAACTCATTAATATCTTCAATTTTCAAAGGTACTATTCAAAACGATTCCCCCGTTGTTGGAATTTGCATGTATAGAATATTGTCAACACACGTACACAACCAAGAAAAGCGGCTTACTTCGAATCATCGGGGTCATCGCGTCAGGTCGATGGTCGCGCTACCCGACTTTTTGTGAAAACATGCCCCTTTTCAACGAAATTTTCGAGGGCGATGTTTATGTAATAAACCCCTCTCATCTACAAATGGTCTGGTCCAATTTAGCCGACGCTTTATGAAAACCCTACGGCAAATCTACGAAAGGTCGCGTCATATCTTCCTCTTTCATTTTACGAAAGGTAGGGCGTGTTACCCGACCACCCGAGCGGATGCGATAACCCGATGCTTCGAGGTAAGCCAGGAAAACTAACATAAATTTGGTAACAGCGAGTGAGAAACATCCTTTTCAAGTTTGCACCCAGTCTCAAATATGTGAACCTGCATGCCTTATGAAAAATATCCCTAGAGGGGGCTTTACTTGAAAAATATGAGTAATAAATAAGTCACAATAATCACAATTCACACTTACCATGAAAGAAACTCGCCATGATAACGAACAGAAACATAAGCAGACCCTATGTTTAAGAAAAGTTGATTAAGTTGGAGAAGAAAAAAAAAATCAGATTTAGGAATGGCCTGTGGATATGGTCAGGAATGAAATATAAAGTTGATGCGTTTAATTTAAATTTACAAGTACTTTCAGTCACTCGAAACTATCAGAAATCTGACTACAGGTTCATACTCTAGGTCAAAATTCGATATTGTGAAATATTATAGGAAATTATTTTGAAATAGTTATGAACGAAGAGGATAGAGAAAGAGAAAGAGAACACGATGAAGAAAATGGAGAAAGCGAGAAGAACATACAGTGCGTCCCAGAAAAAACGAAACCGAAAATTATCGATGTTTTATTATAACTTAATCACAATGATGATAAATAAATGAAATGTGTTTGTACATCTTCTGTCAATTCTGCTTGTTGCTACGGCAGGCAGCCAGTGAAAACGAATTAGTTCAACTTATTATGGATATGCAAGCACTACTTTAACAGAACATTGTTATTCCTAGCTCATTTATCCTGATTGAGGTGTCATATGAAAGGGCAGAAAATGAACTTTCTAGAAATGTGATTTCCCCTTTGAAATCCAGATACCGACCGCCAAATGACTTTTCGGTTTCCTCTCTTCAAATTGATTTCAATCGCTCATGCGTAAAATATGCATCATATGAGTTGCATCAAATGAAAGAGGAGGATCTAAGCTTTACAAATATGTGTCATTTATCAATTATAATTGTGACTAAGTTATGATAAAACAACGATCATTTTCGGTTTTCGTTTTTTTTCTGGGACGCACTGTATAGCACTATACGCGATACAACCAGACTCCTATACCTTTCACTCCCAGCCAGCTATATACTGATATTAATATTTATTAGAGCTTCCTGCAATATTTGCTATGAAGTTCTTTATAGCCTCATTTTTATTGTATGTTCTGAAGCAACAAATGAATACGGAATGAAACTAATACTCAATGCATGTCAATGTCAATAACGTAATTACGTAGTGACAAAGTAATAGCACTCGTCAATAGCTACCCTGCACTTCATTAAACTCGGGAGTTATTATACCGAAGCAACTCTTTGATGAAGCAAAATACAACATGCACATAATATAAACGCGTCGCCATGGGTACATATTTTTACATTTTGTCCTCAAAAAAATTATTATATTACATTATGTGCCAGAAAATATTGTGTTACTTTTGATTTTGAATTGATGTCTAATATCTCCTTGTTGATACATAACATCATATTAGGCCAACAAAGGAAAAAAAATTATTTGATTGTCCTCGCTTGCTTTTCTGAAGTAGGGACGGGCGGGCGGATTTTTTTCTTTCTTTTTTTTAAACTTCATTTTTTGTGTCTTTTTTTATTTCCCCCCCCCCCCCATTTAAAAAAAATTTAAAAAAATCATTGAGATTGTCAAGCATTTAAACAAAGTCTATAAAACACTTTAATATGGTAAAAGACTAGTTTAATGTACAATGAATATCAAAACCAACACAGAAATTATTTTTGGCTTTAAAATACAGCACCTTTTAAATTTCCATTGTACTTCTTATAGCTACTTGCACCCTCTATGTAGCAAACAATGCCTAATCGGTGACCATTGGTCCCCCATGATCCTCTTTATCTTATGTTAACTGAGAGCTGATTTGATGAGATAACCACCTGTCCAGTGACCTTGCAGGGTGGTCTAATACCTCCTGATTTTGATTGGCCTTTATGATTATTTGGGACTCTCCTTTACAAGGATTACTGGAGTGATCAACTATCAATATTATCTGTTGATGCTTGAAGTGGATATTGTTCGCAATTGAACAAAATAATATACCAACAAATAAATGAATCAATTGAATCAATTGAGAAATAGAGAAGGAGAGACTGAGAGAGAGAGATGACGACTGGACAAGATCATAGGTGTATAATAAACTCCATTGGCGTATGTCCGCAAGGGGGAGGGGGGTTCTTCCCTGGATATGGGGCTATCCGGGTGGCGCCGGCAGACTATAGCTAGGGTACACAGGCTCATTGTACATATTGTAATTTGTATGAACTTTACACGGAGGGGATGGAGCCCCCCCCCCCTTGCTTTTTTGGATACGCCAGTGTGAGATGAATGTCATTAAGGTCCGATAACATAAATACTTCCAAAACACACACACACACACACACACACACGCACACACACGCACACATCCCCTGCGGCCGCGATGTAATCAAATGATGTTTAGTTGTTTTTTTTGTATTCACTATTTTAAGAATTATGAACACGACTCTTTTCAGCTGACCATATCAATCTACTCAAGTTCCTGCATGTGCAACTTTAAAAAAAAAAAAAATGAACATATTCCTGATAAACATATGTCTCTATTTCAATTATATTCAATCTTCACAATATCTACAACGATAACAACAGGTAGACAATGTAGAATACACACAATTATTTTCAGTTTTTACTTTTTTTAGTGGGTTGTCCATCATTATGAGAAAAGTGCAGATTCGCTGCTCCCGCTATCTAAACTAGAAGATAGCTTTTTCATTTTGTTTGATAATCATATTCTTTTTAACTCAACTCTGTAGAGATGTTTTTCTAGTACAGTGTATCAGCATAATGTTCATGCACAAAGCCTCAATTCATCGAAAGATATGCAGCAATAATAAGTCAGTGAATTTACTTTCGATATACAACTTCCATCTTTCAAACTCAACCGAATAATTCCCTTGATTTTCATTATTAAGTGCTAAACTGTTGCTCAGAAACCGCGAAACATTTTCTAATGAGTGATAATAACTATCAGAACAAAATGTATGCAACTTACCATAATGATATACAGTGTGTTTCTGCTGTGTCCACAGAAAAAAATTCACCGTTATAGATTCTTTTTATCAAAAACGTTGCCAGAATATTCTCGACTACATACATTCGTGAAGAGATTAACCATCTAGGTCTAATCAAGCAATGTATGAATTTATTATAAGTTAACCTCTATGTATTATGCAACCTGGGCTATGTATGTCAACCAAAACGACCAATGAGGGACGAGCATTTCTAGTCAATCGTGTATGGCCCTGTGAATACAGAGGACAATGATCTTACAAATTAGTTTCTGAATTAGCCTGATGGATGCGCACCAAAGGAATATGCATTATTCATGTTCAAGGGTTTTTGTCAGAGTAAAGCTATTATAAAAATCTCAATTAAAGGTTCCATATTGTTGGCCTGTATTATGGTGAATTTGAAGGACTTGCTTATAAACTTTGTATAAGCTAGGCCATATTTTGTATAGAAGTAATTTTTTCTAGAATTTTGTGGATAATTTTTTCTCAGGTATCGCTCCGACCGTTGTTTGCAGCTTGTCAAACTGACTTTTGAAATATGAAATTAATTGCCCTAATTTTGTAGTAAAAGGAAGCAGTGGAAATACAGCAAAATTATCAGTAAGGCACTGTATTAAGTTGAATTAGTTTTATTCATATAGTTTACTGGGTC